TTGTGTGTAAGTATGTATGTATGTATGTATGTATGTATTAATGTATGTAATGTATGTAATGTATGTATGTATGTATGTATGTATGTATTAATGTATGTAATGTATGTAATGTATGTAATGTATGTATGTAATGTAATGTAATGTAATGTAATGTAATGTAATGTAATGTAATGTAATGTAATGTAATGTATGCATTCATGCATGCATGCATGCATGTATGTATGTATGTATGTATGTAATGTATGTATGTATGTATGCATGCATGCATGCATGCATGCATGTATGTATGTAATGTATGTATGTATGCATGCATGCATGCATGCATGCATGTATGTATGCATGTATGTACGTATGTATGTATGTATGTATGTATGTAGTGTATGTATGTATGTATGTATGTATGTATGTATGTATGTATGTATGTATGTATGTGATTATGTATGTGATTATGTATGTTAGTTATGTATGTTATGTATGTTATGTATGTTATGTATGTTATGTATGTTATGTATGTTATGTATGTTATGTATGTTATGTATGTTATGTATGTTATGTATGTTATGTATGTTATGTATGTATGTATGTATGTATGTAATGTAATGTATGTAATGTATGTTATGTATGTATGTATGTATGTATGTATGGTAATGTGATGCAATGTAATGTAATGTAGTGTATGTAATGTAATGTAATGAAATCTAAAGTCAATGTTAATGTTAATGTTAGTGTTAATGTTAATGTTAATGTTAATGTATGTATGTAATGGTGCTTTATGTTATGTTATGTATTGTTATGTAATGTAATGTAATGCCATGTATATAATATAATGTAATGTAATATAAAGTAATGTAATGTAGTAATGTAGTAATGTAGTAACGTAGTAATGTAGTAATGTAGTAATGTAGTAATGTACTGTAATGTAATGTAATGTAATGCAATGTAATGAATGGTATGGTATGGTATGGTATGGTATGGTATGGTATGGTATGGTATGGTATGGTATGTATGTATGTATGTATGTATGTGTATATATGTATATGTACACACACATACATGTATACACAGTATATACATATAATTATACACATAATATAACAATATTGTTGGAAGACGCTGCGAGCACAGTGCACCACACATAGGAGACAGCCTAGGAGCTAACGGATGCACTCTGAGAATCGCATATTCGCATGTGACCAGAGACCCCACAGTGCTCCACAGTTGTTTCGATCAATGAATGCTTTTGTTTAAGCGCACTTCATGGCGAACATGCCGGTGTCAATTTCCCGCCACGTGGCGTGCATAGATTCCTGGATGCTGGGATGATTCAAAGAGGCATTTATAATCATTTGCATTCAAACTGGGGGCCACTATCCGCACGAAGGGATGAGGTAATATGAGCAGGGATCCAGATTATCGCACAATATATATATATGGAGCGTTCACTGCAGATGTGTTGTTGGTGCTTTGGGTTGGAAAACGATAGGGTACGTTAAAAAACGATAACGATACCCCTTATTTTACCGGGGTTTGAATATCTACACATACGCACAGATGCACACACACACGCACATCACATGTTCTGGTATGGTGACAAACGTGTAGATGCTGCCCGAACTTGCAAGAAATGGCGTCAGGGAGCAGGAAGATATCCCTTTGAATAATATGTGTGGGAATTAATTTATCAGAAGCACATGCAAATTCAAGATCGATATGTGGCTTGGGGTGAGGGTCGGATGGCTCCCGTGGCCCAGGTGGTCTTGCAATGCATGTAGATCATGTAGCACCTTGGCAGTCTGTCTTCTGTGGGCATCAAATAGGTCGCTAGGGCCGCTAAGGTTCAGCACCCGGATAAAATTCACAATGCAATATACAGCTGTTGAGGACATTTAAGGACCTGCGGAAACAACACCACTCTTGACTCTTTGATGCTGGATTCTCTTTGTTTCAGGCTGCAAACGTTTGGGCAACTGAGCATTTTGCCGAAGTATGTGGAGAAACTGCTGCGCGGCATTTTGTTCCCAACCATTCCCTTTGTCGGAGTTGTGAATCTTACGAACTGGCACGGGGTTGTGTATCTATCTAGCTATCTATCTGTCCATCCATCCATGGTTATATTTATCAATCTAATCTAATCTAATCTAATCTCATGTGATCTGATCTGATCTGATTTCATCTAATCTAATCTATCTATCTATAGATTGCAGTGACTGCGTCACATCACAAGGTGGTTGTTTTGGTGAGGTTACTCGTGCGCGTGTGCAGCCCCAGAACCTCTGGCAGGTGCATCGCTTTCGACATGTATATATTCACGTGACAAGACCGCCCCAGTCGAGGGACAGTTTTGTGTATATATCTTGCATCGAAAAATGTTGTGAACTTTTTCAGCATATACTAAAATGACTAAACAATTCACCCCCCTTTGCAATCACCCCCAATTGTCACCATTGTTGTATATTGTTGATATTGTTACATTTCTCTTTGCTGTCCAGCTGGATACGCCTGTCAGACGTGCTGCGACCCCTCACGCTACGATGGCTTTGGCAGCGTGAGCTGCTTCACTTCGCGCGGCTTGCAGGGCTGGGAAGCTCGGCGCTGCTGTAGCCTGCTGGTCTGCCGGGGGTGACTGGGGGTGATGGTCGCAGGATGTGGTGAGCATGTGGTGCTACTTTTGTAGACCTTGTGGCAGGCAGGGTCACTAAAATTAAACATGACGATTGAGGCCCAGATTGGACATATGGCAGCCATGATGTCGTTGCAAAGCGGAGGCTGTGCCAGGATGATGCCATTGCTCTGTAATATGTGCGACATCA